TTGCAGTTCCTTGGAGAACGTGACCATCCCAAACTCAGTGATCCACATTGGAGAGGCTGCTTTTCGGGATTGCAGTTTCTTGGAGGACGTGACCATCCCAAACTCAGTGACCCACATTGGGGACCACGCCTTTCATAATTGCAGCTCTTTGGCAAGCGTGACCATCCCAGAGTCAGTGACCCAGATTGGGATTAAGGCCTTTACGAAGTGCAGCTCCCTGGCGAGCTTGACCATCCCAAACACAGTGACGCACATTGGGAGCCAAGCCTTTCAGGATTGCAGCTCTTTGGTAGACTTGACCATCCCGAACTCAGTGACGGACATTGGGCGGTATGCCTTTGACGGTTGCATCTCTTTGAGGAGCTTAACCATCCCAGACTCGGTCACCCAGATTGGCAATGGTGCCTTTCGGGAGTGCAGCTCTTTGGCGAACTTGACCATCCCTGATTCAGTGACCCACATTGGGGACTATGCCTTTTTGCGTTGCAGCTCCTTAGTGAACTTGACCATGCCAGACTCAGTGGCCCACATTGGGCGTGATGCCTTTGACGGTCGTGCCCACCCCAAACGGAGGAGGCTCATCTGATGTCTTCACCACAACGCTGGCAGAGGAACAGACACTGGGCAGCGCTGGGGCCGCGGGACATCGGCTTTCCGATCCGCATCCGACCGGGCAGAGCCGACTCGACGGAGGGGGTATCCATTCACTACCCCTTAAAAGGGGGCCCTCGTATTTTTTCCAGGTTCCCGGACAGCAAGATGGGGGTGATATAAGGGATGTCCAAAAAGCCACCGGGCGAAAGAAAGTCCTGCAGGGTACTTATACCAGCACCCGATGATAAACAGGTCTGCCACTTCAACAAGTCTTCATTTCAGCCACCATTTCGGAGACCTGTGGGAGGGCTGCTCTATGAGGTTTTCAGGAGAAGGTTTGGCTTTTTAGCCGCCCGCCATCGTTTGGAAGAAGGAGCTTCAGCCGTTTCAACCCTCCGAGACGGTTCTTTACGCCCATAAGGCTCCTGGTTGGTGGCCCATAGGGGCCATGCAGTTCCGGGATGCCGAACTTGCAGGACTAAGGGTGACCCTGTCACATCCACGGCCACATGGAACGGCTGATTTTACCATCAGCCAAGTTCGGCAGACATTTTGCACAGTTGGAAGACCTATACCTGGACCTTCAAGGGGTGTTCAATGCAACCCCCTGCTTCCGGCCAGGTGACCCCGAAGGTGCTAAGCAACGTCGAATCTCTCCCACGATCGGTGCGCGGGCGCCGCAGGCGGAGGTCCGGGCGCTGCAGGATGCCGAGCGGGTCTTCGCCGGGGAGCCGATTTCGGCTGCTTGGCTGGGGGGCAGGTGGGGGGGGGGGCGGGTCCCGGTTGGGGAGTTGGAGGTTTTGGTAGAAGTGGAGTTGGAGTGACCCCAGACCTCGCCCCTCAGGATTTGGGTCCACGTCCCGGGTCGGACCGTGGCCTCGCTCAGGTGCCGCGCCCGCGTCGTGCCATCCGTGGCGCCGCTCCGCTGTCGTCGCTGGGACCGCAGATGGGGGGGTCCGTGGGGGGGGTCGGTCGGTGGGTCATTCGGAACCCTGGACGGTGGCAACACGTGGCAACTGCGAAAGGAACAACCAGGAGTCACGTGGCAACCGGGGTGCCGAACTGGGAGGAAGTCGGGGTGCCCCTGTCACATCCACTCACTGGATGGGACAAAAATCCACCCCCTTGGTCACTTCTGGAATAGAGAACATATGATGAACATGTGTGTGTTTTTACTTGGACCCAATCCTTCAGCAGCTGTGTGCTTTTGGCCTTTGCCTTGCCATTTTAGTACATGATCAACCGTGGCAACTGATGTTGGATGGAAGCTCTGTTTTCGCTTCCGTTCTTGGGCAGCTTGGACTCCGGTGACTCCGGCAGCTTTGTGCTTCTTGTGGAATGGGCAGTGAGGGGCTGGCAACCCCGGCACTCTTCGGCCCGGCACAACGGGTGATTCTGGGGCCTCGAAATCAGGTCGGGATGGGCATGGTACCCAGTGTCCAGAGGTGCCCCTCTCACCCGAGAGGTAGAGGACAAACACACACAACCAACACGCACGCTGTTAGCCCTACGCGCGCGCGTGTTCAGTCATCGGAGTGCAGAGTTGGTCCAGTGTCCAGGACATCCGCTAGTGAAATCCGTTGGTTTTCACGTCGCCGGTCTTCGTAAGACTTACCGTAAGGACACCACACCTGGGGAACCCTGACCCCAAACACCTGTGATCCCACCGCCCCAAAAAAGCGGCAGGGTCAGTGAGCTTATGTTGGGCTCCAGCCGATTGTCCACTCCCGTCACCGGCTGTGAGGCGCATGGAGGCGGCGGCTGAAGCTTTGGGCGTGTCCATCAGTTGAGCTGGGCCGAGCTTCGCGACGGCTGAGCTTTGGAACGTCCAACCAAAATGCGGTGGTGCGAAAGGCGCTCATTGGTGTCTTGAGTGCAAATTCAAAGAATTGAAGTTCAGCAAAAGCATCCAAGAGTTAGTTAACTATTGTATAAAGGTCTGATTTTTTAGATCTTGGTGCATCCTTCCCACCAATTGAATGGGCTTGGGGCTTGTTTTTTTTGTGCCCCGTGGCCCCGCTCTTCAGAAAGGCAGGGCTAGTCCCTCGGCACCACCTCTGGTCTCTGGGCACGTGCTCTGCCATTTTGTTGCCATTGTTGAGTTCCCTAGGGCTCCAAGTACCTTCTCAGAAGGTGTTTGGGGTGGGTTTGGAGGGTCCAAATACCTTCTGAGGAGGTACTTGGAGCCCTAGGGAGTTGTTGATCGCTTTGGGTCAACCATGGTCACGATCGCCTGTGGAGTTGGCAACATTTGGTGCCTGTCCAAGCATCGCAGCGCAGCTCCGAAGCCTCATGTGCTCTGCCAAGTCCGTGCTCTGCCTCGGCCTCCGTGTGCCACGTGTCATGCCTGTCGGGCAGGGGTCGGTCGCCCTGGGAGTCCAGTCGACTATAAAAAGAATGGTCTGACTAGGGGAACTGAAACGGAACATCCTTTACTTCAGCTGGTCAAAATATAGTCGAACTGGACTTCTAGGGGTCAGCTCTCTTTTCCATACGGTGACCGTCCAGCTTTGGGGCCCATGCCCACACGGTCTCGCTCCACCTCCGCTCCATTGGTCTCGACCGGTCACGGCCGAATGGAAGGTCCGCTCCCCTCGTCGAGGTGCTTCCGTTGTCACATGTGGCGCTTGCTCGAGGTGCCCCACACCACGGCCCTCGCCGGGACGAAGCAAAACTCACCCCACGGCCCTCCAATGTGACTCCTGGTGTGTTCAATTTTTGCGGGGTTCCGGGCAAATGGGTGGAGCCCCACACACCTTGGCCCGTGGTCGAAAGACGGAAAGCCCCCCCCGCTTTGGGCAGCATGAGCATGAGAGTACGTGACGGAACACCGTCGCTGTGGTGCCAAGTGAAATCACTGCATGATACGCCTCTCAGCTCACATCAAGATGGATCAAGCGTCTCATTGTCTACGGAGCTGCATCCGATCCTCTACATGGATACACGCAAAAACGACCAACAAGGCATCGATACAGCTCACAAATAGAAGACAAGAGCCGTGTTACATCAGGGGGGTTCAATCTCTTTTTGAACCGATAGATAGATATAAATATATCAATGGCCAGACACTCCATGGGACTTGAACTAAGTATCTTGTATACATCGATCGACTATTCCGGTGGTTCTTGGTTTCAAGGCCTTATTCCGCCCCCCACGACGACCCCCACGCAGCCCCGTCCCCCCGGTGTGCCCATGGCGCCGATGGAGCCGGAGGACTTGGAGGCCGCTCGGTGAACGAGCGGTGGAACGAGATGCTACTCCGGTGTTGGAGTACATGGTGAAGCGGAGAACGTGCAGGTTTCGAAGCGGTTCCTGGTGCAAGTACCAGGACCCGACACTGATCTCGATCGAGGTGTCTGGCAAATAGCCTCGCCACGTGGTGATGACCGGGGTGTCCTTCCAACCACCGGACTTGGAAGGTCCTGGTAGTTGGAGGGGAACGTAAAGTGGTAGGGTTCCATATTCCCCCTCAGCAGTTTGCGTGGAGGCCGCTCGGCAGAGCGGAGAACGTGCAGCTGGTTTTGGAGTACAGAAGCGGCTGGTGCAGGAAGAAGCGGTTCCAAAGCAAGTAGTTGGAGGGGAACGTCAAGTGGTAGGGTTCTATACAGGGTGCTGTTTGTGTTTTTAAGAAGGTGCTGGAAATAACATAAGT